GTCTCAACAGATTCAGTTCCAAACAAAATTCAACAAAGAAGGTCCAAGGTATCAAAACAAACCCAAATCACAACCCATGGACCTTCCAAGTACATTTCGGCCAACTACTTGAACAAATTCCCCAAAAATTAAACTCTTGCAAAAATTACTCACATGGTCAAGAGCTTCATCAATCATTAGCTCTTCGCGTCAAATAACTGTTTTTTTTTTTACAACCAATCAACCCAAAATGTAAATGTTAAAAGTCACTAACATGTACATGGATACAGGGCCAAGATTTGATACAACATCTTACCCAAGGTTGCAACCAATAATCTCATAATACACAGACAAATACAAATTAAACATTTTCCAGCAATTTTTATTCCAAAATATCCATTCAAATGCCAAGAAAGTCCAACGACTAATCCGCAAGTGGTTTATCAACCAAGTAACTTCCATCTCCAAAAATTCCAACCAAAAAAATCAAATTGTTACCCCAAAATTTACATGCATGACCATCTTAAGATATTCTAAAGTGCAATCAGCAATAATATGGTACTTTACAGTGAATCAAACTTTAATATAACAATTTGGAACCCAAAATTCGTAAAAGAAATCCGAAAAAATTCTTTTCTTCCTCTCTCGGCTAAACTGAGAAATTCCAGCAGTTAATTGATCATAAATCCGAATTTTCTTTGGCTAAAACCTTGTATTTTGCACTCAAATCTCACATGCACAACTCCTTAACTAATTAACTATCATTTCTAGTCCAAAGCAGGTTCGAATATCAGCAACATTCATCCGTAATTCCAGAAATTTTGTTCAACTACCTCGGGTGAGCTTGCATGCAGAAGATTGTTGTTTCATTTTTTTTTTAACCGAACTAACGAACTTCATACAAAGCTTAATCACCTAGTTTTTAGTTAGCTAATCACATTTATAAGCTCAGATTACTTCAGAGAAACAAAATTAAAGCTGCATTTCTGTTTCAGCTTCTCGGCAAATCCCCAATTCCTTCGAATCAGATTTTCCTTATGCTTTGATTCATCATCCGAATGCATCAACTTCACATGCAAGTCCATAACCAGCTTAATCTACTGATTTCAGTCCAGAAATTACCTCTACTGGAAGCTTACTCACGCGATAGAAGCTGAAGTTTTCTTCCTCTCCTCTCGGTTAACTCACGCACGCGATGGATGGTTGGTCTGCTGTCCTGGTTGCCGGTGGTTGCAGGTGCGGTGTTTGTAGTTGGAAATGGCCACAGATGGTTGAGGTGAAGTTGCAGAATGAAACGGTAGCTCGCGGTGGGGATGAGGAAGGTGATAAAGCTCACGACTATCTCTCGGACAGTTCCGGACTCGCAGCTCACTCAACTTCCTTCCTCTCTTATTTTTTTTCCTTGCTCTCTCACTCTCTCTCACTCTCGTCGATGATACCAAGGTAGGGAAATGGAAGTGAAGTGGAGTTGTTGTGGGTGGGACTGATGTGTAGTGGAGAGGATATGGTGAGGAGTTGCGGATGGGGTTGGGTGTGTGGGTGGAGGAAGATGAAATTGCATCCGGCAGAAATGGAAATGTTGGTTTTTAAGGTTGGCCGAGGAAGCTTTGGTGGTTGCATGATAATTTCCGAGATTGTGGAGGTTATTTTAGTCTTTTCACATTTTATCCGAATTTTCACTTAAGTCCTCAATTCTAATCTAATTCCAAAATTTACCCCAACTATAATTTGAATGCCTAATAATATATTAATCTCGCAAAGATTCGATTATCGAGATTTTACCGTCCTAAGTATACTAAGGCAATAAAATTAATCTAACTCAGGCAATATTAATTTAACATAACCAAAATCAAGTAATTTAATATTTTAACACAATTTTAGTATTTATAACATAAGAATTGTTTTCACGTACTTAGTTAGGAGTAAGTATACTTAATGCTAGAATTTACTAATGAATCAAAAGTGCAAATGCAATATGCATGGATAAATATATATATAGGTAGGCATTTTTTTTCAAGGTTCTCATATCCTCCCCTCCTTAAAATGAATTTTGTCCTCAAAATTCTCACCTTCTACAGAAATAGGTCGGGGTACCCTTTCTGCATTTTTTCTTCTAGTTCCCAAGTTGCCTCCTCTAAGCCATGATTTCTCCATAGAATCTTCACCAAAGGAATTTTCTTATTTCTGAGTTCTTTTACTTCTCTCCAAAATCTTGACTGGTCCTTCTTCATAAGTTAACGACTCATCTATCTCAATTCCTTCCAAATGCAACACATGGCTTGGGTCGGGGTGGTATTTCCTATGCATAGAGACATGAAATACATCGTGAACCTTGGCCATGCTCGAAGGCAGTTGCAGTTGATACGCCACTTTTCCGATTCGTTTCAAAATTTCAAAAGGTCCAATATACCTCGGCTTTAACTTTTTACCCTTTTTGGACCCTACTCCGCCCTTCACGCGTTTAACTCTTAGGAAAACTTTGTCTCCTACTTCAAATTCTTGATCTTTCCTCCTTGTGTCGGCGTAGCTCTTTTGTCGACTCTGGGCAGTTTGAAGCCTTTCCCTAATTACATTCACTTTCTCATGAGTTTCTTCCATCCAAGGTATAACCGTTGGATCTAAATTTTCTTCTCTCCTATTTCATTCCAATGAATCGGAGATCGACACCTTCTCCCATACAATGCCTCATAAGGTGCCATTTGAATTGATGCATGATAGCTATTATTATAGGCAAATTCTACTAAGGCCATATACTGGCTCCATTTACCTCCAAAATCCAATATACACGACCTCAGCATATCCTCCAAAGTCTGAATTGTCCTTTCCGACTGCCCATCCGTTTGGGGATGATAAGCGGTACTAAACTTCAACTTAGTCCCCAATGTCTCTTGAAATTTCTGCCAGAAACGTGAAACAAACCTTGGATCTCGTTCCGACACAATGTTTATAGGAATACCATGCAATCTCACGATCTCTTCTGTGTACAACTTGGCCATTTTTTCCAAAGGAAAGCTCATACTCACAGGTAGAAAATGCGCGGACTTGGTAAGCCTGTCAACTATCACCCAAACCGCATCAAATCCCTTTTGACTTCGAGGCAACCCCGTTACAAAATCCATGGTTATATGGTCCCACTTCCATTCAGGGATTTCTAGTGGCTACAATAGACCAGAGGGTTTCTGATGTTCAGCTTTTACTTGTTGGCATATCAGACATTTTTGTACAAATTTTGCCACGTCCTTTTTTAAACCGTCCCACCAGTATAACTCTTTCATATCGTGATACATTTTGTTCACTCATGGGTGTATGGTATACCTCGATCGATGTGATTCTTCTAGAATCTCTTTCCTCAATCCTTCATCAACTGGAACTACAATTCGATCTCGAAATCTTAACACTCCTTCAGACCCTAATTTAAAGTCTAGGGTTTCTCCTTTTCGCAACTTCTCCAGCTGGTTCTGGATTATAGGGTCCGTTTTCTGTGCCTCTTTAATACGCTTCAACAACGGTGATTTCAACGTCAGGTTCCCAAATAAAATCTTCAATCTCTCCAAGCGAGGGTTCCAACTACTAACCTCTTCTAACATGTCCCATTCTTTTACCATTAACCCCGCTACTTGAGCCTTTCTACTTAAAGCATCTGCTACCACGTTGGCTTTTCCTGGGTGGTAGTTTATTGAACAATCATAATCCTCCAAAAATTCTACCCATCGCCTTCGTCTCAAATTCAATTCCTTTTGGGAAAACAAGTACTTAAGGCTCTTGTGGTCCGTATAAACTTCAAAGGTCACACGGTACAAGTAATGTCTCCATTTCTTTAAAGCAAAAGCCACTGCGGCCAGTTCTAGGTCATGCGTTGGGTAATTTTGTTCGTGAGGCTTCAATTTTCTAGAGGCATAGGCAACCACTTTACCCTTTTGCATTATTAGTACGCATCCTAGACCTTCCCTAGAGGCATCAGAGTATACGACATAACCTTCTACTCCGTCAGGCAATGCTAAAACAGGAGCTGATGTTAAGCGCTTCTTTAACTCTTGAAAGCTTGACTCGTACTTTGGAATCCAAATGAACTTATTATTTTCCTTTGTCAGCTCTGTCATAGCTCCGGCAATCTTTGAAAAGTTCTTGATGAATCGCCTATAATAATCTGCTAGACCCAAGAAACTTCTAACCTCTATTGGAGTTTCTGGCTATTTCCACATTGTGACTGCCTCAACTTTTGCCGGATCTACAGCAATTCCATCTTTAGAAACTTTGTGCCCCAGAAAAGAAATTTCATCCAGCCAAAACTCACACTTACTAAATTTAGCATACAATTTATGCTCTCTTAAGATCTGCAGAACCACTTTCAAGTGTTGAACATGTTCCTCTCGAGTCTTAGAATATACTAGGATATCATCAATAAAAACTACTACAAACTCATCCAAGTACTTTTTAAAGACTCTCTGCATTAAGTCCATGAAGGCAGCTGGTGCATTGATTAACCCAAATGGCATGACTGCAAACTCAAAGTGTCCATATCTTGTATTAAAAGCAGTCTTAGGTATGTCTTCCTTCTTAATTTTCAACTGATAATACCCTTGCCTCAAATCCAGCTTGGAGAAAACTACTGATCCTTGCAGCTGGTCAAATAAGCTGTCAATCAATGGTAGAGGGTATTTATTCTTAATTGTTCCTTCATTTAATCCTCGATAATCAATACACAACCTCAAATTTCCATCCTTTTTCTTAACAAATAGAATAGGTGCCCCCCATGGTGAATCACTTTTTCTAACAAAACCTCTCTCCAATAGATCCTGTAATTGTATTTTTAATTCTTTTAGCTCTGCAGGAGCCATTCGGTACGAACTCTTAGAAATCGAGGCCATTCTCGGCACCAGTTCAATTTTAAAATCCACCTCTCTCTCCGGAGGTAATGTTTTTAATTCTTCGGGAAACACATCTGGAAATTCCCTTACCACCGGCACATCCTCCAACTTTACTTGGTCACTGGGAGCGTTAATCAGGAAAACTAAGAAACCTTACGCTCCTTTATACAACATTTTTCTTGCCTGAACTCCCGAAATCATAGCAGATGATGCTAGCCTACCTTTCACATCCAATTTCAGGGTTGCTTCCCCAGGAATCCAAAATTCCACCACTTTTGCTCTACAATCAAGTTTAGCAAGGTCATGAGCTAGGAAATCCATTCCTATAATAACATCATACCCTTTTATGTCCAAACTGACTAGGTCTACTAGCATCTTACGCTCTCCAACCCAGAACTCGCAGTTCTTATTGGCCAGGCTAGTAATTATACTCCTATTACCCATAGGTGTTCTAACTTCAAGATCGAAAGGTAATTTAACAGGTTGTACCTCAATTCCGGACATAAAAATTGGATTCACAAATGAATGCGTTGCGCCAGGATCAATTAGTACTCTAACTAATCGGTGAAAGATTGGAAGAGTACCTTCCACAACCTCCGAGGAATCAGGTACAGGTTGATCGTCCATAGCGTTCACCCTGGCAAAAACTTTCGGCCTGTTTCCTCCAGAAGTGGCTTGTCTAGCACTTGGTGTACCACCTTCTTGTATTTTTGGACAACCGGCAATCTGGTGTTCACTGCTTCCGCACCTCAAGCAATTCCCTTCTTTCCTCCAGCATCCGTCCTCAGTATGGCCAGCCCTCATGCAATATCCACAAGTTTCCTGAGGGATGGTCACACGACCTCCTTGCGGGGAGTTCCTAGTTTGATTCCTCCACTGGGTCCTCCTCTAGTACCGATATCTCTTCTTCCGGTACCTCTTGCTCCAACTCCTCTTGCTAGAGCGCCTCGTGGTGCTCCAGGACTATTTACTCCATCCATTCCTCGATGTACTTTGGCCGGTGGAGCATTTGCATAAGTCGACTCCCGACTGCTGTTAGGGCCAAATCTTTTCTTGTCCTGGAAGGATTTTACTTGAGCTCTGGCAACTTCAACCCTTCGAGCTCTCTCAACGGCATCAGCAAATGTGTCTATCCGAACAGCAGCTAATCCCTCCTGAATTTCCACGTTCAGTCCCTGCACAAACCTCCTTACACGCCTTTGCTCCGTGGCTACCAATTCAGGAGCAAAACGGGACAATTTTGTGAATTGGATTTCATATTCGGCGACATTCACCACCCCCTGCCTACATTTGATAAAGTCATCCTCTCTTTTCTCTTGAATGAGAGGGGGTAGAAACTTGGCGTTGAACTCCCTTGTGAAGTTTGCCCAGGTCCTAGGCATATGGTTCCTATCCCAATTAACCCTAATTAGGTTCCACCAGGAACGAGCAGCTCCTTCAAGCTGGAATGCTGCAAAAGTCACTTGTCTCTCTTCCGTATAATTTAAAGCTGCAAAAATGTCAGAGATCCTCTCCCACCAACCTTCTGCTACCTCGGATTCTGGGCCTCCATAGAACTTAGGAGGTCCAAACTTCAAGAATCTCTCTAATGTCCGATCCTCTGTATCGATTGGGCCTCCTTGATGATGCACCGCTCCAAGGGCTTGGTGCTCAGTCATGCGCTCTAGTACATCGGTTATTTTATTGATTGCGGTGGCCACTGGGTCTCAGGCCACGCTTCCTTGACCCTGGTCTTGATGGACCTCAGGTTCCCTATCACCACCACCCTCAGGGTGTTGTCTAGTTGATCTCCCACGTTCTCTACCTCAAACTCGTCGATCCATAACCTAGTTATGCCTATTGATATAAATGAAGTAATATGCGAAGATATTGTTACTTATTTACTTATTATATTTTCTTTTATAAGTAAAATCAACACGAATATTAAGGAAAGGAAAATAAAACACTTAACACATATATTCACATACCAAAATTCATACAAATAACAGGTTAGGGTGCCTTCCAAAAGTATGGCCTCCCTTAAACCAAAAGTAGGGATATAGTGCCTCAAAAGTAGGCCGTCTAGCTAGACAAAATGCTAGGACCTAAACTAGTATCACCCCAACTAACCCTAGATATGTAGATACAACCAGATCAAACCTATTCTAACCCTCAGCAGGGCTACCAGGAGCAACGTTCTCCTCAGGGTCCTCCTCCGGGTCCTTCTCTGGATCCTCCTCCGGGTCCTCCTCCACACCTGCCTGAGCAGTACCCTGAATAATCCCCATGACCTCGTCTATCATCATAGTGGCGTCGACCCTAATACCCGCACTCCTATCACGTACCTCCTCAGCTAATCGAGTCAATCGAGACCTCTGTCTCCCTAACTCCTCACGAGCGGCCTCTAACCTAGCCCTCTCGGCTACTAACCTCTGCTCGAGCTCAACTATACGATCCATCTGAGTATCAACTATGATGCTCAATTCCTCGACATCCGGGTCAAAATGTGATTAGCATCCCTCAGCTGGCGACGCTCGTCGTCCAAAGACAGCACTAACTCATTAGGGTAAGCATACGTGACCCTACACTGGCATCGGGGAAACCTATCGACTGGTATATAACATATACGAGGTCTTCCGTCTCGTGGCCTATAGGAGATGGACCAAAGGGGCTCTACATGTCCATTAGCCACTCGATTACCATTAGCATGTCCGTTTCCGTTTTCCATACCTGCAAAATAACCAAAATCCAAAGGTTAATACTTAAATAGCAAACGTGCTCAAGTGCCACTTAAGGTATATCTAACCAACTCACTTCTTAACTCTTAAAAGGTTCAGGGTTTCTAACATATCTAATATTTCTTCCCAATAACTTTTCTAACCTAGGCTCTGATACCACCTGTGACGGCCCCACTTCCCTCTAAGGCGAACCAGAGGGTTGGCAGGTCGCCTGCCTAGCTCCCGCCAGGACTCACGCAAGGAAACCGACTAAACCCTTTCCACGTACAACTTTAATCAAAACAAAATTTCCTCACCCGAACAAGCCAATCCCTTAAACATCCAAAATACTAGAAACACATTAACTTCAGAGATAACATTGACATTGGACATCTGCATGTTCACCCTTAGTACATCTCCAACTAACTTAACACATAACTATACTAATACAATACAAACCACAAAGTGGAAACCGAAAATTACAAATTCATTCATACAGGCCAAAGTTTAGGGTTTGCAATTTTCCAGCTTCAAGTGGCAACCCAAAACAAAAGATACATAGACCGTTTCGAAGCAATATTTAAAAAAAAACCAAAAAAAAAATAGATTTCAAATCTCTCGAACGCCAAAACCTGTTAAGGAAAACAAATATCGTGTGGTGAGCTAAAGCTCAGTGGTGCCCAAAACATGCAATCATATAACACAAGTAGTAAATAATAACTTCAAGCTTAAATTCAACAAGTAGAAAAGCGTATAACAGCACAGGGTAGGATACAGGGGCTCTCAGGAGCCATTTCCACGAACTTGATCAAAATTAATCGCAGTTGACCCTCCGTCAACTCTTACTATCTAAAGTCCATGTAGATTCATTATTTTTTTCCTTAACACGCTTCAACCAACTTACTCCCACCGGGCCCGCACACCTCACGAGAGAGTTTGGTAGTACTCGAGTATACCTTTTTTTAAACTAGTCGAGGGATTCACCCAACGACGTCACATTATAAACTAGTCGAGAAAACATTTCAAGGAAGTCACCACTCGAAAGGTTAGTGCGATAAAGTACACACTGCCACTTCGATGGTTCAGGAAAATCACTTTCCAATTATCACATAACAAGTCAAGAAAGCACTTTAACACTTTAGTCATAGAACAAGAACGGACACTCACAAAAGTGAAGCTCAAAAGTCAAGCTGAGAATCGAAATCCACGTCCTCGCTAAACCCTAGAAATCCAAGTATTTTTAATGAAAGCTATAAGTTTTACTAAACAAACTCTTGGTTTATATACAAAAGATTATCTGGTATAAAACTAATTTATTTTCTCAGAATAAATCAATAAATCTCTTAGAATTAAAGCTGGTAAAGTAATAGAATATTTCGTATGATTCCTTTAAAGCTACTTTTCTTTCTAGAGGTACAACTAAACCAGTTTAATTCAAACAGGTTTTCTTGCTGAACAAGTTTTCCATGCCTTTTTTTTTTGAAATTGTTCAAATCTAGTGTTTTTAACAATTCCCTCTAAAACAACTAGACAAGGACAATTTTATGAAAAACTTAAAGTTTGGAAGTTAATACAATTATTTCTTAAAAATACTAGGACTAGTTTAAGCAAAGAAAAGAATTAACTAGTTAGTAAGGTTTTAAAAAAAATCCCGACATTTAAATTTTAGTTTTATCATACTATACTCAATTTCTATACCTGGATAATAAGATAAAATATTTCAATAAAGCTTGACCAAAAATACTCGAATTCAAGAGACCAAAACGGACTTCACGACTCCAACTCATTTGCACTTTGAATTCCAAGTCACCAATATAGTAAAATCACAAACCAAACATCAATTTCACTAGGGTTTCATCAATCATTAGCCCTAAGTCTCAACAGATTCAGTTCCAAACAAAATTCAACAAAGAAGGTCCAAGGTATCAAAACAAACCCAAATCACAACCCATGGACCTTCCAAGTACATTTCGGCCAACTACTTGAACAAATTCCCCAAAAATTAAACTCTTGCAAAAATTACTCACATGGTGAAGAGCTTCATCAATCATTAGCTCTTCGCGTCAAATAACTGTTTTTTTTTTATAACCAATCAACCCAAAATGTAAATGTTAAAAGTCACTAACTTGTACATGGATACAGGGCCAAGATTTGATACAACATCTTACCCAATGTTGCAACCAATAATCTCATAATACACAGACAAATACAAATTAAACATTTTCCAGCAATTTTTATTCCAAAATATCCATTCAAATGCCAAGAAAGTCCAACGACTAAGCCGCAAGTGGTTTATCAACCAAGTAACTTCCATCTCCAAAAATTCCAACCAAAAAAAATCAAATTGTTACCCCAAAATTTACATGCATGACCATCTTAAGATATTCTAAAGTGCAATCAGCAATAATATGGTATTTTACAACGAATCAAACTTTAATGTAACAATGTGGAACCCAAAATTCGTAAAAGAAATCCGAAAAAATTCTTTTCTTCCTCTCTCGGCTAAACTGAGAAATTCCAGCAGTTAATTGATCATAAATCTGAATTTTCTTTGGCCAAAACCTTGTATTTTGCACTCAAATCTCACATGCACAACTCCTTAACTAATTAACTGTCATTTCTAGTCCAAAGCAGGTTCGGATATCAGCAACATTCATCCGTAATTCCAGAAATTTTGTTCAACTACCTCGGGTGAGCTTGCATGCAGAAGATTGTTGTTTCGTTTTTTTTTAACCGAACTAACGAACTTCATACAAAGCTTAATCACCTAGTTTTTAGTTAGCTAATCACATTTATAAGCTCAGATTACTTCAGAGAAACAAAATTAAAGCTGTATTTCTGTTTCAGCTTCTCGGCAAATCCCCAATTCCTTCGAATCAGATTTTCCTTATGCTTTGATTCATCATCCGAATGCATCAACTTCACATGCAAGTCCATAACCAGCTTAATCTACTGATTTCAGTCCAGAAATTACCTCTACTGGAATCTTACTCACGCGACAGAAGCTGAAGTTTTCTTCCTCTCCTCTCGGTTAACTCACGCATGCGATGGATGGTTGGTCTGCTGTCCTGGTTGCCGGTGGTTGCAGGTGCGGTGTTTGTAGTTGGA